TGCTCCCTCCATCCTCTCAGACTCCTATCCAGGCCAGCCTCCTCCATGAATCAGCCACCTCTTCTTTTTCTCATTCCTGGCCGGTGGCCTGAGTCTTTCTTTCTGGTACCCAACTTCAAACTGGTGAAGTAATTTTTTATGCTCATCCTTTGCATCTAGTCAGCTAAATTCAGCTTGATTTCTTCTCTTCAATATATTGCTCACTAACATCTTTTCTTCTTCATTCAGTGCTACCAGAGCATCCAGTGCCTGGGATTCCTTCTACAGCTTCCTAAGTACTCTCACGGTCCATTCTTTTCTAATCTAACTCATACTTCCGGAACCGTTCTCTTTACATGCTTGCTTTCATCCTGCTACTTCCCTACACACAGCCTTACATGGATTCCAGCTGATTTGGAAAACAAGTCTCAACTTTTCTGCTTTACTTTCAAGGTTCTTCAAAAATCATCTGGCTTTACTCCCCTTTCCAGTTAGGTCAGTCTCCTCTCTGTTCTGTAAAAATATTCTTACAACGCCAGCGTCTGCACCCTTATATAAACATGTTGAATTGGCCCAGCCTGAAAGGGCTCATCCCTTCCACCCACCTCTTTAGTGGTATCTCTACTATTTCCTGACCTTATTACCCCCGACCTCAACATAGCCAAGTACTTGTGCTTTCCTGAAAACACTTGCCTCTGGGCCTTTGCTTTCTTTCTCTTTTTTTTTGCTTTTGTTTCTTGAGACAGGGTTTTGCTGTGTTGTTCAGGCTGGCCTTGAACTCACTATGTACTTCAGGCCGGGCTCGAACACATGGCAATCCTCCTGCCTCAACCTCCCAAGAGCAAGGGTCACAGATGTGCACCACCATGCCCGGTGGTTGACAGTCCATGTATTTATATATATATATATATATAGATAGATAGATATATCTATATCTATATCTATATCTATATCTATATATATAATTTTACTGCCTTCTGGCAATCATAGTTTCTGCTAAGAAATCCTTTCTTTGAGGTATTTGGGATGGAACACAGGGAGCACTGAGCTATATCTTTGTCCTTTTTAATTTTTTCTATTTCTATTTTTGAGGTACTGGGAATCAAACTCAGTAACTTGCACTTGTGAGGCACGCGTGGTGCCCCTGAACTAAATACCTGGCCCCTATTTTTCTGTTCTTTGAGACTGATTTTCACTAAATTGCCCAGGATAACCTCAAACTTGTGATCCTCCTGCCTCAGCCCTCCCAGTGGCTGGGATTACAGATGTGTGCCACCATGCCCAGCAATATTGCAGTGGTTTGATGACATGCTTGATTTCTGTCTTAGATTATGAACTATCCTCTCAAAATAGTTCAGATTTGATTGTAAAACAAGGTCTCTGACCTTCAAGTAGCTCACCATTGTTTATATTCCTGATGAGTCACTTTAGTCACTCAATAATATTTGTTGAATGAATACATGAATTAATTGCTACCTAAACCCTTTTTATTCTTGAAAGTTCAACTAAAATCTTTCCATGGGCCGGGGATTTAGCTCAGTGGTTCGGTGGCCTGCCTTGCAAGCGCAAGGACCCGAGTTCAATTCCGGATACCAAAAAAAAAAAAAAAAAAAAAAAAAAAAAAAAAAAAAAA